TACTAATTCTAATCCAATTATCTCCAAGCACAGAAAAAACACACTTTTTAAAAGTACCCTAAAAATACATAAAACCCCACAACATCCCCTGATAGCCCTGACCTGGGTGATCAACATATCCAAAAATCACCCAGATCAGTTCAGGGGTTCAGAAATTTTATGAAATTCATAGTTTTTACTGACCGAAGTTACTTTCGTCACACCCCATTTGGAATACCCTGGGTTGTCTACATTTAAAAATGGAATGCCATGATGGGGTTATTTCACATTCCTGGACTACCATATGGTCTTAAAAGGCAATACAGACCCAGCAAATTAATCTGGCAAACTGAATTGGGCAAGCCCTATATTGACCCTGTAACTTTTCAAAACACCATCAAAACTGTATATAGGGGGTATTGTTATACTCGGAATACTTTGCTGAATACAAATATGATTGTTTAAAACAGTAAAACTTATCACAATGATGAAATCACTAGTAAAAGTGCAGTTTGTGTGTAAAAAAAATGCAAAAAACTAATTTGAACGCTAATTTTGGCAAGCGTCATAGGCGTGCGCACGGGGTGTGCCGGGTGTGCCTTGGCACACCCTAATCCCCGCGCACGCCTATGTATATTGAGAACGGCAGGGGAGATCTCAGGATCTCCCCTGTCGGCTCATGCAGAGCCGGCGCTATCCGAGCGCCGGCTCTGCTCTCAGCCTCCCTCCCCACTGACCCACATGCAGGGAGGGAGGCAAGAGAGGACCCGGCAGAGCTATTGCCGGCAGCTCCGCCGGGTTCCTCTCGCGAGATATGAGCGTTGCCACTGCAACGCTCAAATCTCGCGAGAGTGAACTCTAGCCCCACAGGGGGCTAGAGTTCACTCTCCACTGGACCACCAAGGAAGGCAGCAGCAACAAGGATCCCCTCCTCCACTGGACCACCAGGGAAGGAAGCAGCACGATCCCCCCTCCCTACAAAAGGTAAGAAGGGAGGGGGGATAGCAATGAATGTACCCCCACCTCCACCCCCCACAATCACCCACCCACATACAGCACACACATACATACAACACCCACAGACATACAGCACACACACATACAGCACACACATACATACAACACCCACAGACATACAGCACACACACATACAGCACACACACATACAGCACACACACACACAGCACCCACAGACATACAGCACCCATACACAGCACCCACAGACATACAGCGCACACAGACATACACAGCACCCACACACATACAGCGCACACAGACACAGCACACACAGACACAGCGCACACAGACACAGCGCACACAGACACAGCACCCACAGACATACACAGCACCCACACACATTCAGCACCCACACACATTCAGCACCCACAGACATACACAACACCCACAGACATACTCAGCACCCACACACACACACACAGCACCCACAGACACACACAGCACCCACAGACATACACAGCACCCACAGACATACAGCACCCATACACAGCACCCACAGACATACACAGCACTCACACACATACA